TAGGATGGTCTCGATCTCCTGATTTTGTGATCCTCCCGCCTCGGCCTCCCAAAATGCTGGGATTACAGGTGTAAGCCACTGCACCTGGCCTAATTTTTCTATTTTTAGTAGAGACAGGGTTTCACCATGTTGGTCAGGCTGGTCTCGTATCACTGACTCTTTAAGTTTTGCATGGTTTTCACTGAAGCCTCCTATCATGGACATTTTGAAATGAAAATTTTTCTAGTTTGACTTAAAAGTGTAACCAGGCACGATGGCTCATACCTGTAATCCTAGCAAGGAGGCCACGGTGGGTGGATTGCTTGAATCCAGAAGTTCTAGACCAACCTTGGCAATATGGCAAAACACTCTCTCAACAACAACAAAAATACAAAAAATTAATTGGGCATAGTGGTGTGCACCTGTGGTCCCAGCTACTCCAGAGGTTGAGATGGGAGGATCGCTTGAGCCCAGGAGGTTGAGGCTGCAATGAACCGTGTTCGCACCACTGCACTCCAGCCTGGGCGACTTGTTTGTTTATGTGTGTGTGTGTGTGTATGTATGTATAAAAAACATTTTGTAATTGGATTTAAGTAAATTTCAAGTTCGACAACTGTTACTGTGCCGAGCGTTGTTTTATCACATGTAAATATATGTAACCACCCCCACAGTCAGGATACAGAATTGTTTCATCACCACGAAGATACCTTGTGCTACCCCTTAGTCAGTTGTAGACAAGCTTTAATCTTTATGCCTTGTTAAATTTGAGGATGAGCCATAGTAATGTTTTATTTCAGTTTGATCCACAGTGAAAAACATTCTCTTTTAGGACTTCAGTGCTTTTGAATGTCAGTATGGGTATAGTGAAGACATATCCACCAACTCATATTAACACTTTGCCCCATTAAAATTATTTAAGAGTTACCTCTTTGAATGTTGGATTTTAGTATTCTGCTTTCAACAGTTTTAAGCAACTAATAGCGAGAACCTAGATAACTACCTTTACTTTTCCAATATTTTCAAACTTTATTTTTTGGCCTGAAAGTACACGTGCTGTCTTCAGATGAGTTGCTTTTGCTAATTTATCTTATTGCTTCTAATAAGCCACTGATACGTCGTAAGTTCTCAGTGTGAGTTTCTCCTCTTTAAGTTCTCAGTGTGAGTTTCTACTCTTTATCTTAATCTCCAAAACCAGTTTTTCAAAGTGGGAGAATGGATATTTGGGAGTTAAGAAACTGTAAACAAATTACTTCACTCCTTACAGCAGTACCTGTTTTACGATTTTTTTTAATGCCTTGCAGCATATGTATTCACTGGTGCATGTGTTCTTATATTTCCAGTAAAGAAAGAAAAACAACTTTCCTATATACTGTATGGTTTTTGACAGTGAATTATGATCAAGAAATTTACCTGTAACTTGATTTTTCCCATCCAATTTTGACTGCATTAAACCTTTGTGAAGTTAATCATTACCCCTAAAGAAACCCTGTATCTGTTAGCAGTAACTCCCACCTTGCACTCCTCAGTCCCCCAGTCCTAAGCAACCACGAATCTATTTTCTGTCTGTAGAGGTTTGCCTGTTCGGGGCATTTTACATAAAGGAATCACACAGTATGTGGCCTTTTGAGTTTTTCTTCTTGGTATAATGTTTCAAGGTTTATCCGCTGTAACATGTATCACTGTATTTCATTCCTTTTTATGGACAAATAATAGTCCATTGTATGGATATACCACATTTTGCTCATTATTTGGTGGACATTTGAGTTTTTTCATACTTTTTGGCTATTATGAGTGATGCTGCTATGAGCATTCATGCTCAGTTTTTCTGTGAACATGTTTTCAGTTCTCTTGAGTATATACTGAGGAATTTAATTGGTGAGTCATGGTTGCACAACTCTGAATATACTAAAAACCATTGAATTATACACTGTAAAAGGGAATTATGTTTGCATTATTCTGCTTTGCTTTGTAACAACCCCACACATCTTAGCAGTTGACAATAGCAAGCATTTATTTCTTGCACACATTACATGTCTATGGCTATGACTTTGCTTGATATATCTTCTCATTCTGGGATCCAAGCTGAAGGAGCAGTCCATACATTGGATATGCCTGGTCTCATGGTAGTGGATGAGGAAGAAGCCAGATTGAACAGCACAATCCCATGTGAAGCTTCTACTTTGATGCCACAGTAATCATGTCTTTTTGTATTACTTTGGCCAAAGCAAGTCACTCGAATAAGGTCAAAGTCCATAAATGATGCAGGGATATATGCCTCCCCTATCAGGCAGGCAAGGCCCATGGTAATGAATAGGGTTGTATAATCCTTTTACAGTTAAATGTGGGGAGTGAATAACTGAACAGTAATACAGTCTACTACACAAATAGAGATTGCCAGTTAAGGAGAAAGAAAGAATAATTGATGCAAGAAGGTCTTTAAGGACCCCTGAGAAGAAGATGGGCAACAAGGGGATGCGTATGGAGTTGGTAGTAGGCATGAGACTAGCTAAGAGGAAGACAGTTAATTTATATTTCTACTAATCAGCATAGTCATGTCATTAACTGTTCTTCAGTATTCATCTGAGAATGTGAGTGAATGGCTCAGTTTCAACTGAAGATTGTGCTGAAAAGGTACGGTGAAAGGAGGTGGTGCAAGTTGTAGGTATAGGAACATGAATGGATGAACCATATGACGTCTGAGTAGGGAGGGAAATGGGTAAAGGAGGAAGCTTATACTTAGGAAGCATGTGATTGGAGGGCTGAGTGATTTCCACACATGTAACGGGATATAAATAATAAGCCTAGGCAGCAAAGCGAGACTTTGTCTCTACAAAAAATTTCTAAAAAATTAGCCAGGCATGTTGGCACATGCTTATAGTCCTAGATACTTGGAGACTGAGGCAGGAGGATGGCTTGAGCCCAGGAGATTGAGGCTGTAGTAAGCTGTGTTTGTACCACTGCACTCCACCCTGAGGGACAGAGCAAGACCCTGTCTAAGAAAAAAGAACCATAATTATTAGATCAGAGACTAGTCTGAGATGAGGTATTGGATTGCAGTTTCAGGTGATGACAAGGTCCAGGATTTGCCATTTTTTACTTCTCTCTCTCTTTTTTTGTCAGAGAGGGTCTGTGTCACCCAGACCTGGTGTACGTTGGCGTGATCACAATCACTGCAGCTTCAAACTCCTGGGCTCAAACTATCCTCCCAACTCAGCCTCCCAAGTAACTGGGACTACAGGCACACACCACCATGTCCGGCTAATTTTTTTTTTTATTCTTTGTAGAGATGGAGTTTCGCCATGTTGCCCGGGCTGGTCTTGAACTCCTGGGCTCAAGCGATCCACCCACCTCGGCCTCCTAAAGTGCTGAGATTACAGGTGTGAGCCACTGTGCCTGGCCGGCATTTGCCATTTTTAACTGAAGGGAAAAGGAGGTAAGAGTTACTGGAGTTAAACAATTGTGTAACCTGGGTATTGGTTAGGTCTCCCACATTGCAGTATGTGAGATGACATTCTGTTGTTCCCCACTAGACAGTATGATCCATGTCCATTTTACTCACTATTGTGTTGCCAGTGTTTGGCCTGTAGACGTAGTCATTCAGTAGAAAATTTATTGATTTACCAAATGAATGATTAGAGGAAAGTAGGATTTGGTACTGAGACAAGGACTGTGAACCAGATGCTAGTCTTCTGTGAGTTGGGGAGGAACCAGTAGGTTGGTAGATCAGAATGGTGTGGCATTGTGGCCCTATTACATGGCTAGCAGTTGATGCTGGCTTTTGACTAGGAGCTCAGTGGAGGCTGTTGATCTGCATTCTCTCAAGTGACTTTTCCATGTGCCTTGGGCTTCTTACAATCTAAAGATCAGGTTCAAAGAGTGTTCCAAGAAATAGAATGTAGAAGTTTTAAGGCAAGGGCCTGAACATTGGCACAGTATTATATTCAGTATTCTTTTGTCAAAGCAATCACAGAGCCCACTTAGATTCTGGATAAGGGGAGTTAGATCCTACTTTTTTTTTGTTTTTTGAGACAGAGTCTTTCTCTGTCGCCCAGACTGGAGTGCAATGGCACGATCTTGGTTTACTGCAACCTCTGCCTCCTGGGTTCAAGCGATTCTCCTGCCTCAGCCTCCTGAGTAGCTGGGATTACAGGCAACCACCACCACACCTGACTGATTTTTTTAGTAGAGATGGGGCTTCACCATGTTGGCCAGGGCATTCTCTAACTCCTATCTGCCTACCTTGGGCTCCCAAAGTGCTGGGATTAGAGGCATGAACCGCTGTGCCCAGCAGATCTTACTTCTTAATAGAAGTGTCAGATGTGTGATCATCTTGGCACCTAGTTCTGTGTCCGGAATTAGTGGGTTCTTGGTCTTGCTGACTTCAAGAATGAAGCCGTGGACCCTCACGGTGTTACAGCTCTTGAAGATGGTAGTCTGGAGTTTGTTCCTTCAGATGTTCAGATGTGTCCACAGTTTCTTCCTTTTGGTGGGTTCGTGGTCTCGTTGACTTCAGGAGTGAAGCTGCAGACCTTCGCGGTGAGTGTTACAGCTCATAGAGGCGGCATGGACCCAAAGAGTGAGCAGCAGCAAGATTTATTGTAAAGAGTGAAAGAACAAAGCTTCCACAGTGTGGAAGAGGACCTGAGCTGGTTGCCGCTGGCTGGCTCGGGCAGCCTGCTTTTGTTTCCTTATGTGACCCCAGCCATATCCTGCTGATTGGTCCATTTTACAGAGAGCTGATTGGACCGTTTTGACAGGGTGCTGATTGGTGCGTTTACAGTCCCTGAGCTAGACACAGAGTGCTGATTGGTGCATTTACAATCCTCTAGCTAGACATAAAAGTTCTCTAAGTCCCCACTAGACTCAGGAGCCCAG